TGCAGCAGATCCCTGTGGATTTGTGCTCCTGGGAATGTTCAAACACCCCAGGAAACATCTGCCATGGCACCGAGGGTTCTTGGGCCAAAAGGAGTATTTTAAGGAAGAAATCTCTTTTCCATGCTTCCAGCATGATCCCAGTTGCTCACAGCCACTCCCAGTCACTCCCAGTGTGCTCCCAGTTGCTCCCAGTATGATCCCAGTCACCTCCAGCGTGATCCCACTTGCTCCCAGGATATCCCAGTTGTGCCAACATGGTCCCAACTGCCCTCAGAATGCTCCCAGTCTCTCCCAGTATGACCCCGGCCACCCTCACTGTGGGCCCAGTTGTCCCCAGCATGGGCCAAGCTGCTCCCAGTTGCCTCCAGCACAGATCCAGTCAATCCAAGTGTGATCCCAGTCTTCCCCCAGCATGGTCCCAGCCAATCCCAGTTGCCCTCTTGTAGATCAAGTCACTCTCAGTTGCTCCCAGTTGCCCTCCACATGGTCCAAGTCACTCCCAGTGTGGTCCCAGTCACCCCCAGGATGGTTGCAGACACTCTCAGTATTTCCCAGTTGCCCTCAGCATGCTCGTAGTCATACCCAGTTACTTCCACTTGCCCCAGGATGCTTCCAGTTCCCATCAGTACAATCCCAGTCACTCCCAGTCATTCCTAGTCTATGCCAGTTGCCTCCTGCTGGAGGCACCCTGTCACTCCAGTCACTCTCAGTTCCACCATACTTCCAGCATGGCCCCACTGGTTCCCAGTTCCCCTCTGTGTAGTCCCAGTCACTCCCAGTATGATCCTGGGCACTGACAGTCACTCCCAGGATGGTTCCTGTATGGTCCTGGTCACTCCCACTAGGATCCCAGTCACTCCCAATCACTCCCAATAGGATCCCAGTTGCCCCCAAGGGGGTCTCAGTTGCTCCCAGCCCCCCCAGGATGGTTCCTTTCTCTCTCAGGGACTCCCAGTCTGAGTCCAGTATGGCCCCAGGCACTTTCAGTCACTGCCTGGATGATGCCATTTGCCCCTGCATGGTCCCAGTTGCTCCCAGTATGATCCCACTATCAGTCCAGTCACTCCCAGTTTGATCCCAGTAACTTGCAGACACTTCCAGTATGAATCCAGTTTGATCCCAGTCCCCCCCAGTATGGTTGCAGTTCCTCTCACATACTGCCAGGAGTATTGCAGTCACTCCCAGTATGATCCCAGTTCCCCCCGTGTGGTTCCAGTAGCTCCCATTCACCTCTACTATGGTTCCAGTCACTCCCAGTATGATCTCTGTTGACCTCAGCATCCTCCCAGTCACTTCCAGTATGCTACCAGTATGCTCCCAGTATGATCCCAGTCACCTCCAGTGTGATCTCACTGGCTCCCAGTATATCCCAGTTGTGCCAACATGGTCCCAACTGCCCTCAGAATGCTCCCAGTCACTCCCAGTATAACGTCAGTCACCCTCACTGTGGGCCCAGTTGCTCCCAGCATGGGCCAAGCTCTCCCACTGTGATCCCAGTATGATCCCAGTACTCCCCAGCATGGTCCCACTTGCTCCCAGTTCCTCCCAATGTGATCCCAGTTGCTGCAAGTTGCCCCTAGGATTGACCCAGTCGCTCCCTGTAAGATCCCAGTCTGATCTCAGTATGACCCCAGCAGGGGCCCAGCTGCTCCCAGGATGATCCCAGTTCTCCCCAGCGTGGTTCCAGTTACTCCCATTCACCCTTCCTATGGTTCCACTCATTCCCAGCCATTCCCAGTACATCCCTGTTGCCCCCAACGTGCTCCCAGTTGCTCCCAGTATGGTCCCTGTTGCCCCAGTTCTGGTCCCGCTGGGTCCAGTCCAGGTCTCGGTGTATCCCGGTGTCCCCCCTGTCCCCCCACCCCGCTCTCACCCCCTTTTCTCTCCCCACAGAGCTCCTGAGCCGCCGGCGGCCGCAGCCCCTCCCCGTGGCCTCGGGCCCAGCCGGGACCCCCCAAACCCTGCCCTGATTTTGGGGGGTCGTGTGTCCCCCCCGGCCCTGCTTTTATTCTGACACCAGCCGGCTGCTCCCAGTGTTCCCAGTAAAGCTTCCCAGTTCTCCCCAGTCCCAGATACTCAGGGCAGGGGGAGGGGGCTTGTGGAGACCCCATTGGGGGAGCCGTGGTTGGGTGGGGGGCAGAAACGGCCCCAGGATGGATCGGGAATTTCAATCCCCGTGTCACCCCCTCCTGTGTCACCCCGTTCTGGGGGGGCTCTGGGGGGGCACCTGCACCCCAACACGGCACCCAGCGCTCCACAAAAGGGGCCGGGACCCCCCGACACCGCCCCACAGACCCACAAGGAGCCCCCAGCCCGCTCAGACCCCACCCAGAGCCCCCAAACCCCAAATCTGGGGAGCCCTTTCTGGGCACTGGGGGTGCCGGGAGCCCCCCCGGCTGCGGGGGCAACTCCTCCGTGTGCGGGCAGAGCCGCAGCGCCCAGCGCTCCCCACCTCGAGCCCACCGGCGCCCCCCCCTCGCCCCCAGCGCCCCCCGGGACGGCAATTTGGGCAGGGGGGAGGGGGGGGCGCCCAGGCCGGGCCCCCCCGCGCTGTCCCGGCCGTGGCGGCTGCGGCGGGGGCCGAGTGCGGGCGGGAGCGGCCAAGAGCCCAGCGCTGCCCCAGCCCGACCTGCCCCAGCTCCAGCCCTGCTCCTGCCGCGGGAGGCCATGGCCAAGGGGGCAAGGGGGGCCCAAGGGGGGCCCAAGGGGGGCCCAAGGGGGGCCCAAGGGGGGCCCAAGGGGGGCGAGGGGGCTGCGCCAGGGGGGGAAGGGCCCAAGGGGGCGGATCCCGGAGGAGGAAACACGGAAAAAGCGGCGGCCCGGCCAAGGGAGGAGCCGAGCGGGAGCACAAAGAAGGGCAGCAAAAAGGTCCTGGCGGTCGCTCGGCAATGGCGGGGGGGGGGCGAGAGCGGTTTTGGGGCCCCCGTGAGAGCCGGGGGGGAACCCCGGTAGCCGCGGAGTGGGGAGAGCGGAGAGGGGCGATCCCGGAGCTGGGGGACCCCCGGAATGCTGGAGGGGGGGGGAGCAGGGAGGGAGCGCCGGGCCCCTTCAACGGGGGTCCCGGAGAGGGGGAAGCCCTTGGAGTGTGGAGAGGAGGGGGGGCCTTGAGGCGGGGTGGGAGCCGAGAGCCCCAAGAGGTTTGCGAGGGTGGAGCCGAGAGAGGAGGCCCGGCCGGCCCCGGGAGGCAGAGTGGGGAGAAGGGAGCCCTGGGACCCCCCTGGCAACACTAAAGGGGACCCCGGAGAGTGGGAACCCCCCGGAGCCGCGGGACCCCCGGCAGCCCGGAGAAGGGGACTCCCAATGCAGGCAGAAGTGGCAGCAGGGCAGACAGGGGGGACCCCCTAACCCCAGAGAGCAGAGAGGGGGAATTCTGGGAGGGGTTTTTGGGCTGAATGTTGGTGTTTTGTGGGTTTCTATGGACACAGGATGCCCGGTGAGTCCTAGAGCTGGACTTGGGCAGGAGGAACCCCCAAGGCAACGCGCTCACCCCTTGTTTCCCCCCCCATCAGGATTTCTGCTTCCCAAAGCTTGGTCGGATGGAGGAGGAGGCTGCGAGGAAGAGGAAGATGCCTTGGGCCCCCCAGGCAGGTGAGGAGGAAGTCAGTGCCCCTTTGGGTGGGTCTTGCTTTGCCGTCCTGCCGGGGCCGGAGTTGGGGGGATGTCCTTGGGCTTCCCTGTGGGCCGGAGGCAAATCCCCTGCGTGTCCTTGTTGCTTCCTGCCCCAGGCCCCGAGCTGAGGCCGGAGAGCCCGGAGGACAAATCCCCGCGGCAGAGCCTGGTGGGAGAGGCCGTTTTGAAGGGCTCCACGGCGCAGGAAGGCAGCGGGGAGGAAAAGGGCCGGAGATGCCCCCGGAGGAGGGGCTCCAAAGCCAACCCAGGGGGCTGTGAGGAGGAAAGAGGCAGCGTGTGCCGGGAAGGCGGCCGGAGCTTGAGCCGGAGCTGCGAGCTGGTGGTCCCTGAGCAGCCTCCCAGCAGGGAAAAGCCCTTCAGATGCTTGGAATGTGGGAAGAGCTTCAGGAACAGCACCAACCTCCTCAGGCACCAGCATATCCACACTGGGGAACGGCCCTACACGTGTGGGGAGTGTGAGAAGAGCTTCAGGGAGAGCTCCCACCTGCTCCAACACCAGATGATCCATAGTGGGGAACGGCCCCACACATGTAGGGAATGTGGGAAGAGCTTCAACCAGAGGTCCAACCTAGTCCGACACGAGGTGATCCACACTGGGGAACGGCCCTACACGTGTAGGGAATGTGGGAAGAGCTTCACCCAGAGCTCCATCCTCCACAACCACCAGCACATCCACACCAGAGACAGGGCCTACAAGTGCTTGGAATGTGGGAAGAGCTTCAGGGACAGCTCCACTCTCCTTACCCACCTGCACATCCACACTGGGGAACGGCCGTACACGTGTAGGGAATGTGGGAAGACCTTCAGGAGCAGGTCCAACCTCTGCACCCACCGTCGCATCCACACAGGGCAGAAGCCCTTCAAGTGCTTGGAATGTGAGAAGAGCTTCAGCCAGAGCACTGACCTCCTCACCCACCAGCTCATCCACACTGGGGAACGGCCGTACAGGTGTGGGGAGTGTGGGAAAAGCTTCAGGCACAGCTCCACCTTCCGCACCCACCGTCGCATCCACACTGGGGAACGGCCCTACAAGTGTGGGGAGTGTGGGAAGAGCTTCAGTGACAGCTCCGCCTTCCGTAAGCACCAGCGCATCCACACTGGGGAGAGGCCCCACAAGTGTGGGGAGTGTGGGAAGAGCTTCATCCAGAGGGCTGCCTTGACCAAACACCAACGGACCCACCGGTAATGGAAGCCCCGAGTGCCCCGACTGCGGGAAGAGCTTCGGCCGCTGCTCCAACTCCATCAGCCATCGGAGGACCCGCGTTGGATGATCCACAGGGACCCACGTTGGGCACAGCCCTGGTGACCAACATTCCTGGTGACCCCTGTTTAGCAGAGCCCTGGTGCTGGAATAGAGTTGAAACACTGCAGAAGAATAAGGACTGGCACATGTGATGAGAAAGAGAAGACTCCAGTTCCCGGATAACATGAAGGTCATGATGGTCTCCCCAAAGAAAAACCCTGAGAGACACCTGGTGTGAAAGGATGTAGTGAGGAATGGGGCCAGTGAAGGTCCCACAGCCTTTCTTGACAACCATCCTGCAGGGTGGGAATAGGGAACCTTTTTGACCTCTGTGATTTATCTGTCAAGAAAGAATAGATGCCTGTCACGCTACCCCAAAT